GGGGCATGGGGGTGGGAGGGTGGGGAGCACCTGCCGCTGTGCACACTGCCAGATGAGGCACGGGGGTGTGTGCCCTTGGATCTGTGTGCGGGCTGAGGGCAGGCAGCTGCTGCGGGCTAAGGCCAGGGGCTCTTCTTGGCTGGGGGGAGAGGGTTGGGCGGGGTTGGGAAATGGCGGCACTGGAAGGGGGACTACAGCCACCTCAGAATTCACCAGAGCCTCCCTGTAGCTCCTTTCCCAGCATTGTCACTGCTGCCCACCCCTAGCCAACCCCAGCCCAGCCCCCACAATTGGAAAGAGCCCGGTGCTGCCCCTGGCCTCAGCCCACCCTCACCCTGTGTGCAAATCTGGAGGGCCCGTGGTTCCCCTTGGGGTGCACGCAGCATCGGGAGCCACCCCATGGACAAGCTGCAGCTCCCACGCTCTGCCCTATCCCGGCTGGGTAGCACTTGCCCAGCCCCACTCCCTCCCTCACCACAGGGGCCTTGATCTGCTCCCACACCCGTTCCCTCCCCTCCCCTCTGCCCCTTCCTTCTAACAGATTTACCAGCTGGACATTGCTCTCCAAGCTGCAGCGTGCGTGCTCCGGTTGCTCATATGCATGCAGCATTATCAGCTCCATCAGCCCCAAAAAGCCAATTGATGATGATGTCAATTTCCTTTTTTTTTGGTGCTGATACAATATGGACTGATGCATTGGTGCACCTCCTAAAAATATTTATTCATTTTGTCCTCGTTAGGTAGGGGGGAGGGCGGGGGCAGTGTGTGTTAATCTTTAACTGTATTTTAAAATGTTGTATTTTGAGAGTGGTCAAAATCCTTTTGAAATGCATAGAGTTGGTTTCTACCTAATTAGAGAAACAAACTTAGTGTTAATAGGTTATGCACATTTCCACAATATATAATTGTATTTGCCTGTTCTGTTATGTTGTATAGCAATGCAAAATTTATTTTATTCATACTAGGTAAATAATGTGGACTTCACAAATATCATTAGAGAGGAAGCAGTGCTTTTTCTGCTTGATCTCCCTAAAGGAGAAGAGGTAACAATTTTGGCACAAAAGAAAAAGGATGGTAAGTGTTTTCATTGAATGCAGAGATGTTAATGTCAAATAACTTTGGCAGCTTGGAAAGACTGATGGAAAGCCTTGTTGTAGGTTGCTTCAAACACAGCAGAGATAAGCATAGTAATGGCAGAAATTTGCCATTGAACAATTGAGCAATAGACAGTTTTGTTTTGACGACCGTTTGTGGGCTTGGTCTGTTTTCATGAGTTTCGTATTAAAATTATTCCATTCATTATTCTCCTGTTAGTAGTCACAAGAAAGACTGGGATAGATATTCTAATGACTAGTCTATCTACACAAGTTGCTCCACTTTAATTAAGTCTGTATAGTTAAACTAGTCCCAACTGCCTTAGTGTGGATGTGACTTCCCTGTAGGCAGATGGGACTGTTTTTTCTGTATTAAACTCTTTTATAAACAGATCCACTATAGGGGTCATGTCAATATTAACTTTTCTGGTTTAATGAAAACTGAGAGCTGCGATCTTAGCTAAAATAACTAAATAACCTCAAAACTTCATGTAGATCTAACCTGTGTAGAAGAGTGCACTACTGGTTCTCTGTTTGATTTGTTCCACTGTTAATCAGTTATTTCAGGTTCTATTAGTATCAGCATAATAGGATATTCTTCAGAATTCATTAAACAAGCTCTAATCTTGTTACAAGAAAAAATCCTAAAAGTTTAAACGCTGCTCATTTAGAAGAGTCAGTTCTTTCACTGGCTGTGCATGCACAAAATGCAGGAGTTCATGTATTGTACAAGCTTAAGTATAGGAATTTGAAGTATAGAAAATTACTAGCACTATTACTAGCAGTGTTAGGAAAAACATTTTGCTATAACTCGCATGGTTTATTTTGGCACAAGTCCTTGGAGATTTGCAATTTATATTGATAAAAAAGAATCCTTTCATCTACTGCAACTTAGGCTTTTCAGGAAATATAAGGTATATTGACAAAGAACCTTTTGGCCATGTTGTTTCCAGTGGGATTTGCTGGCTGGCATATTTATATCAGCAAGCCCTTTAAATTATAGAGATGCCCCAAGTTTTTAGATACTCCTGAGATACTTTACAGGTAAAATAAAAATCAGAGATTCATGAGATTTGTGTTCAAAATCCTTCTATAAACTAATGGCTGTGAGCATTAGGACAGACTTAATGTCCTACAAATTTGATTAACTTTTTTTTTGCAGTTTATCGTCGCATTGTTGAGTCTGATGTTGGAGATTCTTTCTATATCAGAACTCATTTTGAGTATGAAAAGGAATCTCCCTATGGGCTAAGTTTCAACAAAGGTGAAGTGTTCCGTGTGGTGGATACCTTGTACAATGGCAAGCTGGGCTCCTGGCTGGCTATTCGAATTGGCAAGAATCACAAAGAGGTGGAAAGAGGCATCATACCCAACAAAAACAGGTATGGTCTTGAAACAGTTTTCTGCAAGCAGTAGCTAAAGTTCTAATAAAGTTTGTGCAAGGTCTGTATTTGGGAAACTGCATTAGTCGCAAGATCTTCTTGTCAGTCAGACATGTTTTCTACTTAGAATTTTGGGAGTGGAAAGACATTCATAAGGATACAAATTAATTTGAAATTAGATGCAACTAGTGTGAATGCCAAGCATTTTATCTGGGTTTATAAACAGCAGTTTATAAAATGCTGTTCTTGGACAGTACATGAAAAACTGGCTAGTCGGATTAGGTTTACTTTCCTTGTTTCCATGCGAGCGAAACAACGCAAGGGAAGGGAAGACTGCACATTTAAAGCCGTGTCTAGAAAAAACAATGTCAATTCAGTTAACTCAAACAGTCTAACAAATAGCTTCTAAAACTCTAAGGCAAAGCAGTTTTACTTCATTGGTAATTTTACTTCATTAGTTTTCTTACTAATCTGGTTAAGTTTAAGACTAGTAGCACATTTTTTCCAGTCCATATAAGTCCTAAATGAAGAGCAAAAGAGGATACTGACATTCAACTTCTTTCTCTGGGGTACAACAAGTGTTGTACTAAAGTAATTAAATACATATATCATTTTCTCAAAAGTGCTTTGTAAGCAATTACTGTAGTTGACTCAGCAGCATCATTTGATCACCTGCGGTAGGGAAGCTGGTCCAGGAAACAGTGCTCTTTTCATATGTGGTAATATTTTGGGTTTAGAAGATGAGTTGAAGCCCCTTATTTAGGTGATCAGGAGTTCTTCAGCCTATTTGTTAATCAAATGCAACTTCAAAATTTTATTTGCTTGTCTGTTTGTTGGCATTTTGTCTGTGTAGGTGCATGATCTCTCTTCTTGACTATATCCCCTTTTAGAGCTGAGCAGCTAGCTAGTGTACAGTACACTCTTCCAAAGACAGCAGGAGGGGATCGTGCAGATTTCTGGAGGTTCCGAGGCCTGCGCAGCTCAAAGAGAAATCTCCGAAAAAGCCGAGAAGATCTCTCTGCACAGCCTGTTCAGACAAAGTTCCCTGCATATGAAAGAGTTGTGCTTCGAGAAGGTAGCTTCCTGTTTAAAACAGATGAACTGTTACTGTTCCAGTTCAATATTTTTTGATGAAAAATTACTTAAGTTTATTTTAAAAGGTCAATTTACTCTTCCCTTCCTCACCTTCCTTCCTCTTCTAGCTGGATTTCTCAGGCCTGTAACTGTCTTTGGACCAATTGCTGATGTTGCAAGAGAGAAACTAGCACGAGAAGAACCTGACATTTTTCAAATTGCAAGTAAGTGTCTCTTTGAAGTTACATTAAAATAATAAAATAGCAAAGTAGTTTACCTGTTTTCCCTAGCTTTCTTTCTCCCATTATTTCTATAACAGTTGTGATTTTCGTCTCTTACATTGTCAGTGATATGAAAATGATCTTTAAAAGCTTTCCCTTTGTTCATAATTAACTAGTTGATACAGTAACTTAAAGGTATGGAATTGCTATAGGTTTCTTAAAGAAACATGATTTTGCATTTAGAGGATTATTAGTTTCTAATAATGTTTTAGGGCCTACTTCTGGAAAGTGTCAGGCATTGGTGAACATGAGTTGAACTTGGCATCTAAATTCAAAATTTTGATCATTCAGAATTAAGCCTCTGCTAAATGTCTTAACACAATCTTGGTGACTTTAAAATAAATAGAAATCAGTCATTTAATTTCTGCATTATTTTAAAGTAAAACGAGTATCTTTATTATGACAATTTTAAAGAGTAGCCTGGTATTTCAAACTAGAGCAGGCATGGAGAGGGTTGTATACTTGAATAAAAGGCAGTTAAAAAACAATTATTTTTAACTCCGTTCTATTTACAGAAAGTGAACCAAGAGATGCTGGTACCGACCAGCGTAGCTCTGGCATTATTCGTCTTCATACAATAAAACAGATAATTGATAGGGTAAGTAGTAAAAATATGTGGTGTTTTGTAAATGTGTAGCTGATTCTAAAAATAAATAAATAAGAATGGGAGTGATGGAATGAACTGAAATGTCTATTCATTTAAATAAACATAAGTTAACGTGCTAGGGTTTTCGTAAACAGTAACAAAAACAAAATATAAATCAACTTATAAGCAAGGAATTATGTGCATAAATATTTGTATTGGCATGCTTATCTTTTCTAATTGCCTAAATTAAACAGTAGTACAAGCTGAAACAGTTTAATCTATGTAGGCACTTATTAAAGCGGATATAAAGGAAAATGCCACATTTCTATCATATCAGGCACTTATTTTGGCTTATGGTATACTTTCAGAAGAGTGAACACATTATATTGCAAGGTGCTCCTCCCTCATTTTGCTCTCAAGTAAATATATGTATATTTAAAAATATTTTTCAGAATCATCCATAGATAAAGAAATTCCTTGCAAATGTGCTGGATATCTGTTTCACGAGCCTCTAATTTAAAAATAGCCTTTAACTTGCTGTAAGTTTTAGGCATATACTTGAAAAAAATAGTAACCTGTGTATGTAGCTGTACCAATAAAACAGATTGTAAAGCTGTAATACTGAATGTGCTTAAATTAAATGATGGACAAAAACTCCCTTTTTCCCTCTCTTCTGCCCTTAGATGTCTCCCTCTTCTTTTCCATTGCAATATGCAATTGACCCTCCCACATCTATCCCTCTAGCCTCCGATCACCTGAAGGAGAATGTCATAGAAAAGCTAAGAGAGTTAACTTTTTTTTCTTTACCATTAACTTTTCAACGTTTCTGTCTCTGTCTTCAAAGTTAGCAGGAGAACCACTAAATTTGGCACCAGTTTCTTCAGTATGTCCCCTCATTCAGGGGTGTCTAGGTTCACCTGGGCTCCTGGGTGGAGTCTGGACTGTTGGGCTCCTCATAGGCTGGATCAAGGCCACAGTATGGAAGTGGTTGCTGTGGCCACTACAGTGGTGGCAGCAGATCCACCAACAGTGACGTATCTGGTAGGAGGAGATTGAGGAATGGGGTCTGAGGGCAGCAACAGCAAGCTAAGCTTGCTGTTACTGGCCATGGCCAGTGGGAATGAAAAGCCCTGAATTCTGTGGCAGGCTATGTTCTCCTAACTTCTGGTGGCCTGCTGATAGTCTGGCAGGCATACTAGAGCAGCTCTGCAGGCTGGATCCACCTGTGGGCCATAAGTTTGACACCCCTGCCACAGTCCATGAAAACTTCTGACAATAGGTGTTCATATAGGGCACCTGTTCTCTACCTCTTCTTTCTATGTTCCTGTTGATAAACAAAATTACTTCATTAACCCTTACTCTTAGGAAGACTTTTTCCCGCTACAGGATCATTGCATCCAGGGAATGCAACACCAGATGCTTATGGAATTGATTCCACAGTAAGGGAAAGCTATGATCATGTCTGATATGCAGAAGAAGGATTTGTTTGAAGTGGAGTTGAAGGCATTGGGATCTGGCCCTTCATTTCTTTTCTTCTCTGCCACTGTCTTTTTGTGGCTCTTCCTTTCCTTAGGAAGCTGTCTGGCCTGTAGAAAGTAAACATGTGACACATTTCTAACTAGGCACACTCATTTTCAGTAGCTCTGGTCATGAATGCCATGTGCCCCCAGAACCTAACAGAACACAGCGGGAGTGGCGACCGCTCACAGGCACCACTGGCAGCGTCAGCAGCAGTTTTCGCAGGGGGTGCACTGCCTATTTCAGGGGGTGCACATGCACCTCCTACATGTCGCCAATGGCTCTGTTGGTCATAAGAGTGATTGTATAGGCAGTCTAACTATTGGGTTTTGCCTTATTTTCCCAGCCTAATAATAAAAATAAGTGGTTTGTGTACCAGTACCTAGATACTACGATACATTCTGTACAGTAACTGGAGAACAACTCTTTATAGAGGATATGAAAAATGAATTATTACCTAGGTGTAGCGCTTGAAAGCTTCACTTTCTTGCTGGTGTTCTCTCTTCCCCTGCAGGACAAACATGCTTTATTGGATGTCACTCCAAATGCAGTGGACCGTCTAAATTATGCACAGTGGTATCCCATTGTAGTGTTCTTGAACCCGGACTCTAAGCAAGGTGTAAAAACCATGAGAATGAGGCTGTGTCCAGAATCACGGAAAAGTGCCAGAAAATTGTATGAAAGAGCTCACAAACTAAGGAAAAATAATCATCACCTCTTCACAAGTAAGTGAACAGAAAGAAATGTTTACGAATGAAGCTAAATTGAAAAAAAAAGAAAAAAAAATCATCCCCCCTTCAAAAGAAAGGAAAAAAAAAAAAATTTTTACGAAAAAAGCAAAATTAAAAAAAAAAAAAAAAAAGCGAAAAGTGGTGTGGGGATGATTATATCTAACAAAGTTTTAGGCAGCATCTTTAATCATCTTTAGTTGCCCTATTGTTAGTTCTTTCATTGCTAGGTGTCTTGGTATTAGTAGTATGTATTTACAGCTGTTTTGTTCATATTTTATTAAAAATCCAGTATATTGGGTTTCACAAGTATCCAGTAGTATTTACTGCTGTGTATTGTCACACCATGAAGTTGTACCCCATCCTCGTTTCTCCCCACCTCTCCTTGTAAGGGAGGCAGCAGACAGCCCCTTGTGGTCCATGGGACATTTGTCTCCTGTCATAAATCTTTTCTAGGTACTACCCACTGCCTATATTGCCAGCCTTCCTTATTCTGTGTTTCTGATTCATTTTTGGATGCATCTGCCCCCAGACTGGAAAAACTGGCATTAATATTTTGGTAGCTTCTTTATATGTAGTTCTTCTGAAAGCAGACAAAAATGACATGGGATTCAACAACTTTTGTCTTCAATTCCTGAATTAAATATGATCAGTGCACTAGTGCAAAGATGTTTCCAGTCCTGCAAACGTACCTAATCTGAATCATGCAAGCTTTGTTTTGCCTTGTGCATGATCCCCAATATTATAGGTTCTGCCAAACAAATTATACTTGTCTGTCTTGTTAAGTCTCAGCTGGTATTCAGCATTTGGTTCTAGTGATCCAGATCTTTCTCAAAATTAAAAAGAAATTTAAGATAAGAAGTTGTCACTTTATTTTTAGCTACCATTAACTTGAATTCAATGAATGATGGCTGGTATGGAGCTCTAAAAGAGGCAATTCAGCAACAGCAGAACCAACTGGTGTGGGTTTCAGAAGGAAAGGTAAGGAATTCAACTTTCTCATTTAGGTGGAAATAATAAAACATTTAGTAGTCACATGCTGTACAGTAATGAGTGGACTTTCCTCTTTCTTTTCCATGATCATACCAAGATTGCTGTGAATTAACAGTGGCGAGGTGGGTGTCCATCTGTTTTTGTGGCATAAAAGAAATCCTCATGCAACAATAGTATACACCTTAGTGACTGCTACCTTTTTCTACTTCATTCCTCTCAATTGTACCTTCTGGACAATTGGGTTTTCTTATGGAATGAAAGAACTTCCTAGTCCTGCTCATGGCTTTAAGGTCTAAGGAAAATTGCTATCTCAACTAATAGCTATGTGAACCATGCTAGACCATCTATTGGCAAGATAAATGTAGCTATTTAACTGCTGTAGATGGTTTTTTTTCTCTTGTGGTGGTTTAGCAATGGTGCAGGTATTTACCCACTGAAACAACTTAAGAATGGATGTGTTGCATTATTTGTTGTATTGAAGTCTCCAAGTCTGGAATAGGTGTCTTTCTAAAAAGTAACTTCTGATTTGAACCACAAGATATGGCAAAGACTGGCAGACATTGCACTTAAAATGCAATCAGCCTGTTAAGAGTGCTATAAATAGCAACCTGGTCACACATTCAGGCAATTAATGAGAAAATTAGATGAAATGAGAAACCAAAAATATTCCATAAAATGTGTAATCTTTTTCTGACTGGTTTTCATCATGTCTTAAATTGAATGTGTGGCAGGGTAGCCCTGTTATGCAGTCTGATGGAACTGCACCCCACTGTTTTCAGTGTGCCAAGTGAAGGGGAAATCAACATCTGGGCTAGGGTGCCAGGTAGTAGGACTCGCAACAATCTGGCATGGTGTTTGCCTTGTCCCTCAGCTCTGGTGGGCCCTGAGGAGCAAAGTGTGTTTTGGTGTTTGGTCATGGGAAGCCATGACCCAGCAGTTGACTACCTTGTCCTACAGCTCCCAAGGACACTTGACACAGGGAAGTTCCCTGATCGTGCGATCCCTGTGCACTGGGACCTTTAAAAACCATGTGTGGAGCCCACATGCATATGCAGTTTTCTGATATTCCAGTGCCTAGGGCTCTGGGACTGACCCCAGTGTGATACTGGGGCTGGGACCCTCAATTCACTGAATGTTGGTCTCAGCCCTGGAAATGCCCTGGAATCTCAAACCAGCTTGTTGAAACCAACAATTGCGCTGGGCTAGGGTCACCCAGCTATCAACTTGCGGATGCAGGGGAGCCCTGGGATGATCCCAGGCTCCCTGTATATTTGCAACTGGTAAAGGCATGATTTGGGATCGGATTCCAAAATTGCATAACCTGCCATATGTGTGGTATGTCAGCAAGTGTGATTGGTGTGATTGGGGATCAGACCCCATTGTGCCATTAAATGAACTTCTGCCAGGGGCCTTAAATGCAGAAAATACCTGGTGACATTTTATTGTCTGTGTCTATCTAGGAAGTAGCACTGGAGTTTTTTTGTGGCCGTGATGTTTCATGTGCAAGAAATAAGGTTGTTTTTTGGCAGTATCTTTTAGTGAATCAGCTGTGTAGGTGGGAGGGATGTTAGACAAGCCTTTGGGCATAGAATATCAATGTTAGTTGCTCCCAACGCGACAGCTGGTCCAATAAGATGTCACCAAAAACAACCTTACTTCTTTGGAGGAAGTCGGATTAAATATTGGTGTTCCTTTCTGGCCTTAAACTCTGGAGTCTTCAGCAGAAGAAATAGCAGTGCAAAGTTTCCCATCCTGCCACTTGAATATATTCTGACTCTGTTTCTCAGTGGAAGGACAGGTTATTACATGCAGTCAGTCCTTGGTGGTCTTGCTACCCATTAATCATGATTTTTTGGTTCGTCACAGATCTGAAGCAAATGCACTGTGTGTTCAGTCTGTAATTCCGTGTAAGAAAAGAATTCCCAGTTCTGCACTGTAAGACAAAGGACATCTTTTGAAAATGCTTATAAGAAAGATTTATATTTTCTTTTGTGTGATACAGGCAGATGGTGCTACAAGTGATGACCTTGATTTGCATGATGATCGCCTTTCCTACCTGTCAGCTCCAGGTAGTGAATATTCCATGTATAGCACTGATAGCAGACACACTTCTGACTATGAGGACACAGACACAGAAGGGGGTGCCTACACTGATCAAGAACTAGATGAAACACTCAATGATGATGTTGGGACTCCTCCTGAATCTGCCATTACACGGTCTTCTGAACCTGTAAGGGAGGATTCCTCTGGAATGCATCATGAAGCTCAGACCTACCCTCCTTATGCATCACAAGCGCAGCCACAACCAAATCTTAGAATGGACTCTCCAGGATTTAAAATAACTGCCTCACAACCGGTAAGCAGTAACTTGGTACTTCAGTAACAGGTATTCTTCTTCCTTGAGAGTATAAGCTCTTTGAAGGAGAACTGTCTGTCTTTGCGCACTGCCAAGTAGTACCATGACTGTGCACCAGAGGCCAACAATAATTTATGTGCTGGAATGGATTAGAAAGTCTACTTGTCTTCATGTAAAGAGACGGCAATTAATTCTGATAACTTTTAAGGTGCCGTTCTGATTTCTGAAACTTTTAAATGTGTATTTCAGTTTGTAATAAGTGGTGGAATGACTTTTCTGAAAGCGATAGTGCATCATTCTTTCAGTGCACTTTTACATGAGATGTTTTATCAAAGAAACATTTAAAGTATTTTGCCTATAAATTGAAAAATCATAACATTATACAAAGCACTACATTTAAAATATTTTAAACACTTCACAGAAAGCAGAAGCCTCACCTGCAGTCCCTTACCTTTCCCCGTCGCCTGAAATAAACCCTGCAATCTCATCAACTTCTGTCGTTAATCCTAACGTAAACCTAACTAATGTCAGACTGGAGGAGCCCACCCCACCTCCTTACAACTCTTACCAACCGCAAGCTGGCCCCTTAAGAACACCAAGCACTGAGGGTGCCCATATAATGCTAAGAGATCAAGAGCCATCATCCTTATCGCCGCATATAGATCCAGCAAAGGTACCCGTGCTGAAATGTTGCACTTATTTGCTGCTGTACATTAAGCTGGCACCTGCTCATTTTGTTTTGCCACTTGCTGAAGAATTCTGTCTTAATCACCCTTCCCTCCAATCTGCAAGGGTTCATGCAGTTTAAGACTGCATCCAAATTGCTACGCATACGCATCATCTAACTTTTTTGTTTGCATGGCTTCAAACTGTGCATCATTCCACTTCTGCTAGAAAAACAAGATAAATTAAAAGATTACATTTGTTGTTTTTGATTGATTCTTTCAGTGTGTGTATGATTCAACTTGTCAACATTGTTTTGTTTATTAATGGAGTGTTTGTGAAAAATGTGTCCCAAAATGTTAGACTGGCCTTAAGCAAATTCTTCACTATGCTGAATGGAAATCCTGAATCATGGTGCTTTTGATATATTGAGCCATTCTGAATTAATCCCCCCAAAATGTTGGAATTAATTTGAAGTCCAAATAAATCCATTCTTTAAAAATGACAAATATGAGATACTTGTTAGCTTTGGCTTTTCTCCTTAAACTAAATAAGTGGGGTTTTTTCATGTGAACGTGGGACATTGGTTCCAGTTCTCTGCTATCACAGGCATCTACATTGTGTAATGCTTTCCTCAGGAAAAAAACAAACCTAATTTTACCTACTTTGACTTGCACTGTAGCTTTTTAAGTAATGTATGTGCATTCACTTTTCATATTACATATAAGGAGTTCTCTTTTTGCAGGTTTACAGAAAGGATCCATACATTAATGAGGAGGCGGCACCTAGGCAGAACTACATCCTGAAACAGCCAGCTGTTAATCATCCAGTACACCGACAGGAAAGAGAGTCAAATCTGATCTATGAATCCCAGACTCAGTATACAGAGAAACAGCCTAGTAGGGAATATGAACAGTCAACATACCGGTATGATTCTGCTAACTATACAGATCAGTTTGCTCGTGGTTATGACCCTCATTTACATTATGAGGACCGTGTACCTTCCTATGAAGACCAGTGGTCATATTATGATGAAAAACAGCCCTACCAGCCAAGACCACCTTATGATAACCAACCACCTAAAGACTTTGACCCTAGACAAAATGCAGAAGAGAGCACAGAATGCAGCTACTACCCAGCACAACCTCGCTTTGAAGAACCACCTCCAATGACTTATGACAGCAGACCTCGCTATGAACATGCACCTAAAAACTTCATACCACAAGTGCGTTACGAAGATCAGCCCACTACTGCATACGATATTCATGGTAGATATAAACCAGAGGCCCAAACATACCCTCCAGTGATATCTAGATCTCCTGAACCTAAGCAGTACTTTGAGCCACACATAAGGGGCTATGAACCAGGCCCTCCCCAAGGATTTAATGCTAAAGTAGGACAGTATGAGCCTTCTCATACCACTGCAAATGTGCCCCCTCCACCTCCTCCATCGCAAACGAAGCCAGAAATTTTGCCTTTGAACAGTAAACCACTGCCTACACCACCAACACTAACAGAGGAAGAAGAAGATCCAGCCATGAAACCACAGTCAGTGCTAACTAGAGTTAAGATGTTTGAAAACAAAAGATCATTGTCTGTTGAAAAAATCAAGGACTCTAATGATGCACCAGCTGTCAAGGTAAATTATTTAAGTATCCACTTCCAGCTTTTCATCATGCCACAGTGGGGGCCAACCTTTTTGTCAGGCATGCCACAGATTGACCCTGAATGCTTCCTGAGTGCCACTTCTATCTTTTTCTTGCCCAGTCTGCTGCTCGGCTTTCTGCTCCCTGACCAAGCTGCTGCTCTGCTTTCCTCTTCCTTCCCTTTGTGTCTTACTTGATTGAATGCCCTGCTTTCTGCCCTCTCTGCCACTGTGCTGCCTGTCCCCTCCCCAGTCTGCTATATACCACACACAGGGCATGTCTACACGAGAAGTTTACTGTGGAGTGGACTAATTAGCTCTGCAGTAACCTTCTCGGTGTTTATGAGGCAGGAGTAAACTATTCATAAACTCCACAGCAAGGTAGTACTTGTAAATACAAGTACTATGTGCTGCCAAGCTTTTTACTCAGCAGCACCACAGGTGTAGATGCTGACATGGCTTGCTGGGGCATGAGGATGCTTCAGTGCATGGGCTGCCAGCCAGCTATGCCTGCACTGGAACACCACTGTGTCCCAGCCAGCCCCTCCACAGCATGTTGAGCTGGGTCAGAGCAGCCATGTTAGACCACCTCCCTTCCAGACCCCCTGCCAGCCAGGGCTGCTCTAACATGGCTCCTGTGTGGTGTGATCCCAGGGGCATATGCAGTGAGCACCAGAGTTTATTGCTCTGCATTAATTGCATGTGTAGACACACCCACTGAGCCTACCCTTGCCACTTGTTTCACCTGTGCCACAGGCTGACCACTCCTGATATGCTTTGCTGTAGTTAGAGTTGTTGTTTTTTGGGATACATTGTCTTCAAATTATACTGAAGTTAGACAGTTGTTACAAAGCAAAAGCACGTACTAAGACGATCTGAACTCACTATACCAAATGGGCTCCTGTTCAAGTTTTGAGTCTCTAATTCCCATGGTTCTCTTAAAGCAGTACAATTGTATCTTTCTAAACATAGGAAATTTAACTGAATCTTAGTGTATATGTTTTATTACAGCCCCCGGAATTAGCACCTAAACCTGCCCTTGCTACGGTTGCCAAGCCAGCCTCTCAGTATGAACATGACAAAACAACTTACAGGTACAATTTATCATTAACAAGAGTATGTAATTGGGTAGTAAATCAGTAGTCATTTTCAGTGGTTGGATATTTCAGAAAAAGAATTGTTTTTAATATTATAATAGATGAATACATCACCTGTTTCAAAGAATTTCCTTTCTTAAGGAGCTTCACAGGGTCTTTTTTCAAAATGTTTTAGGAAAAGAGTAGCTATAACATGAGAAGAAATAGAAGCATGATGTTGGCTTAGTCCTAATAATTTAGGAGTGGTAAGGGTTTTTTACTGTTTGAGGTACCACCTCCTTAGCTATGTCATTTCAATAAAGTGAATGTTAATGGCTCAAAGTTCTTGTTCTCAGTCCATTAGTTAACTATATGAAAGTATTTTAAAATGCCAGTTAAATGCTTTTCCCTTTGTTGATGAGTACCCCTTGAAGGGCATTTTTGTGACATAAGGGTTTTTACACAAAAAATATTTTAATTATAGTCTGGGTAGTTAGCTTATAAAATAGCATTTGGGCTTATTGCTTTTCAAAACTTAAAATACAGTAAAGCATTATTATTCCTAATTAGGGCCCCAGAACCACAAAGACCTCAAGCAAAGCCACCTGAAGATATAGTCCGTTCAAATCACTATGATCCTGAAGAAGATGAGGAGTACTATCGAAAGCAGCTCTCATACTTTGATCGCAGAAGTTTTGAAAATAAGCCCTCTGCACAGATACCTGCCAGCCATCATCCTGAGCCTGCTAAGCCAGTACATCCTCAACTGAACTTCACTAATTATTCTTCTAAGTAAGTTTTTTGCATTTTTATTTAAAAATGGAATAGTAAGGTTTAGAGGTCTAAAACTGAATTTGAATTTGGTTTAAATTTCTACCTTCCCCACAAAATTGTGGACTTTAAGAAAAATAGTTACTGTATGCTCAGAAAGTCAATTCCTGGGGAAAGGTTTCTTTATGAAGCTAGAAAATATGTTAAAATTTGCATCTTGATTGAATATAATGAAATTAACTTCTGTAAGTTTCTGGAACAGCTGACTTCTTTTCCTGACTCATGTAGTCTTGAGAGTGGAGCACAAAAGAGATTTTCTTAGCATAACGTATACAAACAATTAATTTAATAAAACATTCCAAAACACAAGTTTCAACTATTTGTAGTCCTAGTTAACTTTTATTTTGACAGCAGACTAACAAAAATCAGCCAGTTGATATTTGACATGACAAAGCAACTTCATGACACTTCCTGGATGTGATGTTGGAGCCAGAAGTTGTTCTTTGCAGATGTAAACATCTGTATTCCTGTGTTGTTCCAGTTCCTTGATTTGGAATATATTTATAAAGAAACTGTATGAATGTTCACTGTTAGCGGAGGTTTGGGGGGGGGGGG